TTTCTTTATGAGGGTACACTTTGTGAAAACCAAAAATGGAACGTGTAACGGAATTATGAAAGATTTTGAACGTTAAGAACTCTGCTGCCCCTGGTCCAACTTCAATAATTTTATCACCAATCGATCATAAAAATTTCTACGCATCGATAGCAGTTGATCTTCAACAAGAAACTATTGAAAAAATGGGAAATGTCAAGCATTGTTCAAAAGCGTCGAAATAACGAACAATTCCACCACGTACATGCATATGACGCAGATTCACAATTCTTAACATTTTGAATATTAAAATAAAAATAGTTATGGGATCCAGAGATGAACTAGCCTAAGGCTAAAAATCTCTTAAATAAAAAAAAAAAAAAAAAAAAAAGTTATGGGATCCTAAATCAAAATGTTTTCAAGAATTTGTAATGAATAAAAAAATATCTCTGATACAGTAAGCATAAATTCTTCGTATACAAATGTAAATAAAAGTCAACAAATTTAGACCACTTGTCCTAATTTTAAGACAAAGATAAAATTGCAAGATCCTTCTTAGGCAGTCATTTGATGAAAATTAATTTCATGAAAATTTCGAATTTTGAAGACCAGGAGATTCAAAACTCGTCTAAGGCTATGATATCGAAAATTGTTTTTAATATTAATGTACTAGAAATTAATATTACAAACAATTTTCGATATCATAGCCTTAGATGAGTTTTGAATCTCCTGGTCTTCAAAATTCGTAATTCAAGGTCTTAGGAAACTTACCTAGATTCTGAGACTAACAGCATTTCTCGCGAGAAAAATTCTTCGAGATAAGAAAATAAGAAAAAAATAGGAATTAAAATTTTCGAAAAATATTGGCATGTCGCAAAAAAAGTCAATAATCAGGTTATAATTTAATTTTATCAGGTTTTTAAGATACCAGATTTTGAATGTCATGATTCTGATATTTGAAGAGAAAAAAGTAATAAAGCATTTATCCAGAACAATTTTTTATTCGATGCATTGGACTGACTAACATTCGAAGTAATGTATAAAATCAAGATTTAAAATGAAGAATGAGCTCAAAACTTGAATGATTGTGTCCCTGTTTATAACTAGATAGTAATTTATTTAGTTAATAATACACACTCAAATCACGAAAATGTTTATGTGCTAATCCATACAAACTATCCTGCAGCTGAATTCCGGGCATACAATTCGTCGAAAAGAAAGAAATTTATACATATTAGGTATGTGCATAAATTGAAATTTTTGCCCGGAATTCAGCTGCTGCAGTGCAAATTTTTGACAATATAGCTATTCCATCTGATTCCATTAGCTGTAAAACTTTTGAATACTTCCTGATCGATCTACAACCTACCAAATATCCAGTGAACTTTACTCATATCTTCGACTATATGGAGATCTTTCGAATATTTCCTGCTGTCTAGGAAGGATGTCTGAAAGAATATTATGTGACTTATGCTACGTTTCCTGGACATCTACAAAAGTTAAGTTTTACAAAATTTCCTGAAATTCTACGAAGTTAGTTCTCGAAATTTATTCCAAATTCCATATTTTTTCCATCTATCTTAATTCTACAAAGATCTCGGAACATCTCTGCACTTCAAGAAAGACACCTAGGACATCTACAAATATTCTTGAACACATAGAAAGTTCCTTGAAATTTAGTGAAGTTCCCAAAACCTCCAAGAAGTTCATAGAGCTTTTTTGGAGTAAGATCTCTGACAAACTGCAACAAAGTTCCCTAAACTGTGCCGAAGATCCTTGAAGTTCTTAGAAGTTTATTGAACTATTTTTAGATCTTTTACAAAATTCCCTTAATGTTTTCAAAATTCCTTACACTTATATGAAGTTTTAAGCAGCTCGACAAAATGCTACGAAATTCGAAAAACTTCTACAAAGTTTGCTGCACTTCTACGTTTTTCGTTCATTTTCCGCGATCATGAACGATTTTTTTTTAATTTGTACATAATTTCCACAACTATTTCAAGTCCATGAGGCCAAAAAAACCTGAAATCATGTAGATGTTCCCGATCAATAATAAGCTTCTTGAAAATAAAATAATGTTGCTTTAACTTCTACGGAGCTCCTCAAATTTAAATGAATTCTCTACTTCTACGCAGTTTTCAGGACTTTTCCAAGTTCCTTTTTTCTCCGAATTTTTCTGAAGGTCTATGAAGTTCCCAGAATGTCTACTAAGTTTACTTAATTTCTACGATCTCCCCTTAACTTCTATTTAAAGATTTACAAAGCTCCCACAAGTTAAAGAAAAATCCCTGGAGTCATGGCGAATTTCTGGAGCCTGAAGGCGTCTTATTGCCATCGATTTGATATAATTTGTAATTTCCCAAAATTGTTTCTTCTAATCCAGAACATAACAAAAGTAATCAACATAAAGGACTTTAAAAAATCTTTGTTGGTGGTTTAATTTTATTAGTCACTGTTGAATAGTAGCATCAAACTTAACAAGCTCGACAAAATACCGGTGAGTCAAAAAAAAAACACTAAGAATTCTGGAGGAGGCCTGGCCCCCTGGCACCCCCATTAGCTACGCCAATGAATGCTTGTGAATGAGCGAAAGCATCAAGGGCAGCGAGGTTGTGACTAAAGTGGACCCTACACGACAGTTTGTATTGACAATAATCGTATTGTCAATACATTTTGTATTGACGTCAATACATCGGTATTGACAATATTTCTGTGTTCACATCATCAATATTATTGTCAATACTTGTAAGTATTGACAATATTTCTTACCGTGTGGGGTTCGCTTAACGGCACTGTTTTCCGAACTTCCATTTCCTCCATCAGAAATATTGGCCAAAGACGATCGTTTTTGATCAATTTTGTCAAAAGATTACGTTAACCTGCGCTTTATCTTCCGTGGCCGAAAAACAGGTAGTAGTGAGATCCAGCAAGTTAGTAGAAACAGACCTACCGGGAATAAATCCATGTTGATCTGACGTAATGTGGTTTTTTTGCAGCGAGTAGAATTTGATCGCTGACGATAATGTCGAAAAGCTTTGATGCGGCAGAAAGGTTGATTATCCCACGGTAGTTTCTAACATCTCGTCGGTGACCACTTTTGTACACAGGAAACATGTAGGATAGTTTTCAGCTCATGGGAAATTTACCTCGCTCAAACGAACGGTTTAAAATGAAGGCTAGCGGTACTGCGCATGTGCAGCGACGGAAAACAGCAACAGGGATACCATCCGGACCAGGAGCAAATGAATTCTTCAACTTTTTTGTTGCACATGAAAATTAACGGAAAAGAACTCACCAATACTCATGCAAAGTTCACAATTTTTCCATAATACCATCGGATTTGGACATGTTTGAGCCTGTTTCATACGACCGGAAATGCAAATGCCTTGCCAAATTGATTTCATACGCAAGTGATCAATCTTTGACGTGAATTTTGCGATTAAACATAAGGAGTATTCCAAAATATAGCAAAACTTGCTATACAAAATGGCCAACAAACTAACACTTCTTCTTTGTGTGTAACCTTTATATAAAGCACCTCGATCATCGCCAACCAAAATAGCGCCCATTTGTGGATTCTATCAACTTTCACCTCAATGTTAACCCTTCCTACCACCATTCAGGTGATGAAGAAAATCCCCAGCTAGTCAGGAAATTGCCACCACCTAGAAGCAGCAATGAAGAAATTATGTATGACGAAAGAGATCAAACGTAAACCGTAAAATTATTAGCGATTCCATTGACAGATGCGATGAATGGTCGCGATTAGATATGACACAATGTATGGGCCGACGGTGCCGGTTTCTTTGTTTTGTGTTTTTCCCCCCTGATCTAATGTAGGTAGGTATCCCCATCGAATCCAGTTTTGCCACTAGGTAGATACGGTGACGACGGCCATTCAATAAGTTAGCCCCTGCCACCGGGCGGCCGGCGGCGCGATAGCGGCGTGATGCCTTCAGTCGGAAGTTCGCTTCGGTTAACATACTGTAACGACGACGATTATACGACGTGCGACGACTCCCGCAAATGTGACAATTGATTGCTGGACAAATTGAGGAATTGCCGAGTTATGTTTTCGATTTACCGTTTGACATATTGATGACAAGTTGATTTTCCGCTGTCTGGTTGTCTCGATGTGATGGGTTTTTTTTTGTTAAAAAAATGTTAAAAATGTTGATCACGGCCCAAAAAATGCCCAACCGAATGCAACCACTTGACGCATTTGACGGATGAGTTTTTCGCCGGTGGCAGTACATGGGGAACATCGGCGGTTTGTTTACATTGAAAATTTATGAACGGCTGGGTGCTGCAACACGCAGACCTCCTGTCACTGTTTGGGGTAGCTTCATTTATAACTACACACAAGTACGTTAATTGCACTACACACCGCATCGTGTTGCTTCAACATGGTCTAGTCAGTGTTCAACACGGGTCTTTGCCGAGGGAAAAACAGTCAGTTTTATTTATTTTCGATGCCGTCAGCTATCATTATTTGTAATTAATTATCACACAACGCGTATAATAATGGGCCCTGATGTGCGCAGACCACCGCGCCGTCCTGGCCAGTTGTTGGAGGGTGTCACGTCGATCCGAAATTGATTTTTATTTCGTGCAGATATTTCGCGAGTAGCGGTCCCTTTTAGTACCGACGAAACGCTCGGAGCATCTTCGCTTTATTATAATTATAATTATTATTATCACCGTCATTTGAATGCATTTCGAGCCAGCCTCCTACCAAGTTACTGCTGTTGTTATGGGAACGGTCGCCGGCGTTCAGGAATGAGTCAACTTTTCCTTTTTATTTCTCCTCCAGAGGGCGTTCGAGGTGCACTTTATTTTATTATTATTTTGCGTATCGCTTGCCTTAAATTAATGTTAAGTTTATCATTATGCTCATCGGTTCCGAAACTGATGCTCTCGTTGAGTGTGTTTTTCTTGTTGTTGTTGTTGTTGTTGTTTGAGATGTCGATTTTTTTTTCGGTGTTACTAAAGATGGTCCATTTTTCACTTGGTTTTACTTGCAGATGAATCAACAGTGTAAGGTGTGCGGCGAACCAGCCGCTGGTTTTCATTTCGGAGCATTCACCTGTGAAGGATGCAAGGTAAGCAGCCATTGGCTATCGTTAGTAATATTCTAGGATTAGAAAATAATCTCCAAATTTAATGAACATTCAAATTAGTTTTTGCATGCAATGATTGTCTAAAAAATAATGAAGGTTATTAGAAAATTATTAATCCACACATCATAAGCAAACAAACAATTTTAAATTGGAAACTTACGATTGTAAATTGGCTCATTACCTGACAAGTCTATTGGTCCCAAGCAAATCGATTAACGTACCCCATTCTAGTCCAAATTCTAGTACTACACTATGTTTATTTTGATCCGCTATGAAAGTTTGACAGATAAAATGAGGGGTTCGGTGTTGAAGCGAGTGATACTAGGCTCAGTCATCGAATGGAGTTACATGTGAAATGTTAAAAGCATACACCATATTACTACGGAATGATTCGTTAGGAACCATAATTTCACTAGAATTTTGTGGGGTCTGCAAAAGTTGTGACCAGTCTTATCTACACGGAGAGAAAATACTACACAAAATTTGAGTTCTTTTTAATTAATTTTGAGTTGAGCCTCTCACTTGTACTCGTTATTGTTGTCAAAAAATAGTTAGTTCAATCCAATAAGTTACTTTTGAGTAAATTGTATATCCTCAAATTTACGTGAATGAAACTTAATTTTGGGTAGAATATACTTAAGGGTAAGTTTTTTTTGTTTATGTTAAATGAAAACTACTATTTGCGATTTACTAAAATTTTGGTTATTTGGCTGAACCCAGGAATTGAGGGAAAAGTACTTCATTTTGGGTAGTCTTTCATCTCCGTGTAGGAAAATACTCTATGAGGGAGAAGAGGGGTCTAAAAGTGCTCAAACACATACTACGTCACTTATGTATGCTTCCTTATATACTCCTTGATCATTGGCTCTGCTCCTTTAAACCTAGTTTTGTGGAGGAATTCGTACGTGAGTTATGGATACTAATACCTCTGCTGGCGTAGTGGTTAGCATGGATTTGTTTTCCGTCGATTTTGTTTTCCGTGCTGATCACCAATGCTACCGACGCCAGGGAGGCAGCTCCCACACCTGGACCCTACATCAACTCATGAACCGGGGACCAACGGCTTTACAGTCAGGAATCCTAATTGCCGGGGTAACGGGGGGCGTGAATAAGGAACCGCAAATAAGGATGCCCACAGCTTATGGGATTTTCACTAATAGGGGCTGTTGTGGATTATCTCACTTGTTTCAATATATAGAGCTATACTGTCTTCAGGGATGGGTCAACAAGCCTGTGTAATTGGATTCTGGTTTAATTGGGAACTATGCCGCTAGAGGCGCTTCACTTTTATGTTACTTATGAAGGGCGCTATAATATATGGATCTTTGGTCCAACATAGAATATTTCGTGATCCTGGCCATATAGAAGGTTACTGTCTTGAGCAAAGTTGTTAAAGTGACCAAGTCCTTTCGGATGGTTGTCATATTATTAAAGAACTCTCTCACTACGTGGCGCTAGTGTGCACATGAACTTCCTTAATATGTTATGTCTGGAAAGCTTGTCCATATATGTAATATTTTTCTGTGCAATAAGAGGACACGAAACAGAATAGGGATGACGTGTTGAGAGGCTGGAAATCGATAGAGGACGCTATTTTAAAATCAAAGATGGCGGTCATCGATTCAAGAAAAACTGCTAAATACCCTGCAATATGGGTATTTCCGGAAAGGGGACGACGTGCTGAGGCCGCAAATCAATACCAGACGTCATTTTGGAATCCAAGATGGCGGCCATCGGTCCTGATAGGGGATGACGTGTAGAGACAAGAAATCGATGCCAGACGGCATGTTGGAATCCAAGATGGCGACCATCAGTTCAATAAAAGCTGTCAAATACCCTACAATATGGGTATCTCCGAAACGAGAACGACGTGTAGAGGCCGTACATCGATAACGTCAATGAATATTGGAGAAGGGGCCCTGGTCAGCCGTACGACGCAACTTAGTCGCGATGCTCTCACAAGAGCGCTGGACGGCACTGAAATCATTCTCATTTTTTATTGAACACCCATTAGTAGCATGATCAAACAACATGATAGGTAATTATCAGTTACCGTGTAGCCAAGATAAACAAATAGAACGCAGCCAGTAACACATTTGCAAGAAAATGCAAGAAAGGGAGATTCGCTGCCTGTCGCTGCCGTCCTGTTGACAGTTCCGAACGATTTCCGCTTGGTGAAGACTGACATAACACGGGCAAGACATCATTTCGGTTTGGTTCGTCGCAGTGAAACGCGGTGTTTGATTCTCCGGCACTCCATCCACGTAAAAAGTGACGGCACGTGTGCACATTTGGGAGCGAGATTGCCGGATCACCCGCCGCTGAAAGACCACTCCGATCAGTGAAGTGAACGGCGCCAGTGCAAGTCAACGCATTAACATCACGTCCATCGCTGACGGCAACGCAGGAAGAGGGTTTTTTCTAACCAGCAGGAACAGCCGAAACGTTACGCCCACAGCAACGGCCAGGTTGACCCGAGGAGGCAAAGCACATAGGTGTATCGAATCGACAGAGAAACTCGGCCACTGGTCCACCAATCACAGACGAGGGAATAGTTACACACATCTCGTCGGCAGTAGTGATCTGTCCAACACGGAGGAACAGGAGATCCGATTCTCATAGCACATTTGTTGGAGCAGTCCGCCGATCATGGAAAAAGGTTCGGTGCGCCCAGTTCGCCCTTATGCGAGTGGAGCAGATGTCAAGGCTAAGTAGTCTCCAGTGACGGAACGACTTCATCAAAGCAATCTATCCCCAAGCGAGTCAACGTGGAGTAAGCAACGGCGACAGGCAGCGATATGAGTGAGTGCTTTAATGTTAAGGAACTGAAGATATCTCTAAGCGTTTCGTAGGGCTATAGGCAGTGCACAGCATTAGACTGATGCCAAATTTGAAATTTTCGCTCCACAGTGCTCAAACGGTTTCAAATCAGGTCCTGATTAGCCTCCCAAAATTTAAACTCATTTGGTAAGAAACTGACTTGGCAAAAACTATTCGAAGTTTAGATGGAAATTACTATGGGAAAACCAAAATTTTTGTTCATTGTCTTCTGCCCATTTTCCATATTGATTTTTCGAAAATTTCTATAACTATTCTTACGGGAAATTTTCTAAGCTACAACTTTGCGGAATATCGTTTTCAGCCAAATGTAAAATTAAATTGTTATTAATTGTTTAAGAGATTGATAATCTTATGGCATGATCAAGCAGCTGTTCTGTGGGCAACACTGTTTTCTGCAGTGTGACATAATAGCTATCATTTTTAAAAGCATAAAAATATGGTGAATTGTTAGATAGATATGTACAAAAACATAAGTTTTCCCATAGTAATTCCCATATAAACTTGAAATGGTTTGTGCCAAGCCAGTTTCTTACTAAAGTAGTTCAAATTTTGGGAGGCTAAGCAGGACCCAATTTGGAACCGTTTAAGCACTGTGGAGCAAAAATTTCAAATTTTGCATCAGTCTAGCGCAGCATGTATGTGCGAATGGTTAAATAGATATCATCATGCTATGAAAATTCGGTTATGGGAAGAGTTTACACCATTTTGAACTCCAAGATGGCGACCATCGATTCAACAAAAACTGTCAAATACTCTACAATATAGGCATTTTCGGAAAGGGGACAACGTGTTGAGGCCGGAAATCGCTGCCAGACGTTATTTTGGAATTCATAATGGCGGCCATCGGTTCAAGAAAAACTGACAGATGGCCTACAATATGGGTATTTCCGGATAGGGGATAACGTGAAGATACCAGATATCAATGCCAGACGCCATTTTGTAATCCAAGATGGTGGCCATCAGTTCAGGAAAAACTGTCACATACTCTACAATATGGGTATTTCCGGAAAGGGAACGACGTGTAGAGGCCAGAAATCGATGCTATTTGATCGTTGGTCTGAAAAGAAATGGATCACATCACGAGCAGTTTAAAATGATGTTTCCTACCACTCGAACATGGCCGTGGAACAGTATTTTGATATGTTTTCTTTTATAGCCTCGAAAAAATAGGGTTTTATTTAATTTCTTTAAAATCTCTGGCAGAAGGTCGTCCCAAAACTGCTCGACTATATGATTATTTGAAAGTGTTCAGTATTGTCTTAGTGTTCAACTGCGATGGTACAAAACTGTTTTACAAAAAAAAAACGCCTCGATGTTCCTATGTCTCAGAGCATCTGAAAACAATGCCGGGATCGAAAGGGGACAAAAAAGGATTCTCAATCATGTTTTGCTCTAACACGAAAGGGTCTCTGATGATGAAGCAGTTGATTATAAACAATGTCGTGAATCCAAGGGTAGTTATAGATTTACAGAAAGCGAATCTCCCTGTGCCTTTTTGTAATAACAAGAAAGGTTGGACGACCCGATAATTATTTGTGGACTGGATAAACGACTACTTCTCACCACAGTTGGAGGAGTTTTGCGTAGCCAAGAACATTAGCTTCTAGGGTTTGCTGCTCCTAGATAACACTCCGTCGCATCCGCCTACCATAAGCAATCCCAACATAATGCTTATATACATGCCACCACAGATCACGTCTTTGATTCAACCCCTTGATCAAGGCATCATCAAAAATTTCAAGCTGAAGTATGTCTAGAGAAGCTACAGTTTTATTCTGGAAACAGTCAAGAATGAAGGCCTTTCACTACCAGATACACGAAAGTAGTTCAGCATCAAAAATTGTTTCGACTGCTTGCATGTGGTTCTAAAGGACATACAACAAAGCATGTTTGTTAACTGCTGGAAGAAAGTTCTTCCGTCGTATTTCGCAAATTCACAACGCAATGAAGACGACAACGAGGATTTGCAGATCATGTCCAAAGTTCAACAAATTCACGGAAAGTTTGATGCGCCGGGGATAAAAACACAGTAAAATCAATGAAATTATAATCGATGAACTGGCTACAGCAGATGAAATTATTAGCGAGCTGGATCCATGTACAATGAATATGGATTATATTTTCATCCCACCACAGCAGAA